ATAAAATAAAATAAAAGAGTGATTGCTGGCCGGGTGCGGTGGCTCACGCCTGTAATCCCAGACTTTGGGAGGCGAAGGTGAGTGGATCACAAGGTCAGGAGATCGAGATCATCCTGGCTAACACGGTGAAACCCCATCTCTACTAAAAAATAAAAAAAATAGCCGGGCGCGGTGGCAGGCGACTGTAGTCCCAGCGACACGGGAGGCTGAGGCAGGAGAACGGTGTGAACCCGGGAGGCGGAGCCTGCAGTGAGCTGAGATGGTGCCACTGCACTCCAGCCTGGGCCACAGAGCCAGATTCTGCCTCAAAAAAAAAAAAAAAAAGAGTTATTGCTAATAAAGTCAACAAAGGAGATATAATGGAATCATAAAAGCTATCCAAAAGAAGATAGAAAAAGAAGAGAAATAAAAGATGGGATAATATTAAAAAAAAAAAAGAAAAATGATAAACTTAAACATACAAATATCACATTATTAAGCAGGTCATGGGCTCTAAAATAAGTAAACAAACAAACAAATATCACATTAAATAGAAATGGTCTAAACATCCCAACTTTATGGTCTAAACACCCCAAAGTTAATAATGCCAGCTTGGATTAAAAAATAAGACCCAACTATACACTGTCTTCCAGAAACACACTATTAATATAAAGCAATGATAGTATAAAAGTAAAATAACGGCTGGGGACAGTGGCTCACACCTGTAATCCCAGCACTTTGTGAGGCTGAGACGGGCAGATCACCAGAGGTCCGGAGTTTGAGATCAGCTGGCCAACATGGCGAAACCCCATCTCTACTAACAATACAAAAATTAGCTGGGTGTGGTGGCAGGCACCTGTAATCTCAGTTACTCTGGAGGCTGAGGCAGGACAATTGCTTGAACTCAGAAGGCGGAGGTTGTGTTCGCTGAGATTGTGCCATTGCACTCCAGCCTGGGTGACAAAAGAGAAATTCTGTCTCAATAAATAAATAAATAAATAATAAAGTAATAGGAAATGATAGACTTTAATACCAATCAAAAGAAAGCTGGAGTACTTAGACAAAGTAGATTTCAGAACAAATAATGTAACAGAAATATGCAAGACCATTTCACAATGTAAAGGGATCCATTCATCAAGAGAATATGAAAATTCTAAATGTTTATGAACATAAATAACAATACCTTCAAAATATATAAAGTAAAAACTGATAAGGCTGCAGAAGAAATAAGTCCATAATTATAATCAGAGGTTTCTATAGCCCTCCCTCAATTATTGACACAAGTAGAAGAGAGAAAATCAGAAAGGCTCTAGAAGACTTGAATAACATAATTAACCAATTTTATCTAACAGGCATTTATAGAACACTCTACCCATAAATAAGTGGATGCGCATTATTTTAAAGTGGACACTGAATACATCAATAGACCATCTAGACCAAAAACTAGTCTCAATAAATTTAAAATGTTTAAAGTCATGAAAACATATTTTCTGACTATAGCCGAATCAAATTAAAAAGCAGTAACAAAAATTTCTGAAAACCTCCAAATATTTGAAAACTAAGTGGCATGCCTCTAAGTAACTCTTGAGTCAAAGAAGAAAACAAAAGTGAAATTGGAAATGCTTTGAACTGAATGAAAATGAAAACGCAACATAACACAACCTTTGAGATACTACTAAAGCAGTAGTTAGAGGGAATGCCTACATTACAAGAAAGACCTCAAATCAAGAGCCCCAGCTACCATTTTAAAAATTAAAACACGGAGAAAACCAAACTCAAAGTAAGCTAAACAAATAAAATAATAAAGATTAGAGGATAAATCAATGAAATAGGAAATAGCAAAAACAGATAAAACCAAAAGTTGATTCTTTGAAAATATAAATAAATGTCATAACTATCCAGCCAAACTGATCTAGAAAAAAAAGAGAGGAGACACACATCACCAATATCAAGATGAGACTAATATCGCTATAATCTCAACAGATTTCAAAAGATTAACAGAATGCCATAAAAAACTTTTACCAATAAATTTGATACTTTACATGGAATGAACAAGTTCCTTAAAACACACAAGCTGCCAAACATCACTCAAGAAGAAATAGATGATCTAAATAAATCTATATCTATCAAATACCTAAATTAGTAGTTAAAAACTTTCTTGCAAGAAAAGGTCTAAGCCCAGATGCCTTCACTGGTGAATTCTACAAAATGATTAAGAAAAAAATACTATCAATTTTAACCAAGCTGATTATCTGAGACGACAGATACATTTCAGAAAACTGAAAAGAAGAAAATATTTTATAATTCATTTTGTGAGACCAGAATGATCCTAATTAAAAACAACAACAACAACAACAACAACAACAACAACAACAAAACCCAAACCAAAAAAAAACCAGATAAAAGAACCTACATTCCTGGGATAAATCTCACATGGTAGGTTGTTTTATAATATGAAAATCTATCAATGTGACTTACCATATTAACAAATTTAGAGAGATAAACTATACCATCATTTTAATAGACACAGAAAATTCAACATCCATTTCTAATGGAAACAAAGTCTTTGCAGTAGACTAGAAATAGAAGATACCTTCTTTGATGTAATCAAACATTACATTAAAAAACAACAACATACAACTAACGTCATACTTAACCGTGAAAGACTAAATGCCTAAAATTAGAAAAACAGTCAAAGATGTCTGCTCTTACCACTTCTGTTCAATGTAGTACTAAGATTCCTAGCTAGAACAATTAGACAAGTAATAAATAAATAAATGTCATCACAATTGGAAAGAAAGAAATATAATTGTCTCTGTATGCAGATGACATGATCATACATACAGAAAACTTTAGGAAGAACTGAGCTTTCTAACACTGGAGGCATGTAATCAGTGCATGCTGAAGTGTTAAAGAGAAAGCAAGACTAGATGATCTCCTAAGATCCTTCCAACACTGGAATTTTTCTGCTGATATGGAAGAGGTACTTCAAGGCAAAGAATGGAGTATGCCAAATAAACGGTAGAGAGAATGAGTGAGTGCACTACGTTGGAAGGGACTTTCTGCTGAAAGGATCAAGTGCCCTTGTGGAAGAAGCAACACTTGAGTTTTGATGTAGACTCTGCATGGTCTATAAGAACAAGCACTGTGCTGGGCATAAGACAGACCTGGTTACAAAGCCTGACTCTGCCATACGTGTTTATGGGACTTTAGGAAAGTCACATATGTCTTTGGGATTTACTTACTTTATCTGTAGAACAAAGTTCATGATCATTCTTAAGTTACATTGTTTTTTGTTTGTTTGTTTTTAATTGTGAGAAGAACAGCACGCTATGGAGATGTGATCGAGATGTGAAGCATTATTGTTCAAGTGTAAACCCACTGTTGGAGGACTTTCATTTCCCTTGGTTATCTGTGGTTTACAAAACTCTGCTATTAAAAAACAGCACTCCAGAAGGACAAAGACACACACGCGCACACACACACACGCACACACACACACAAAATACACACCCACCCATTCACAGACAGTGGTAAATCTCACCCACATAAAAATAATGCATATGCAGATAATACAAACACACAGACACTTCAGTTTGCCTATGCATACTCAGATACACAGTCTTGCACAAACACATATGCATGCACTCCATACAGAGTCAAAAGTCAGAATTAACCAAGTTTGAAAGATGAGACAAAATCAGCGGCCCAATTACTGTTCCATGACCCGCCCCTCTGTGAAAGTGATGTCCACTCCAGTCTGTTCTGTCTCTTTCAGTCAACAATGTGGAAAAAGCCACATCAATCCCAGGCGACCTATTAGCAGCCAACTTGACTTCTCATGTTGTCCATAATCTGGGCCTTTCTTTTTCTGACTTCTCTCTCATTCACAGCCTCATTTTATCACTTTCTTCCGAATTTCAGAGGAGTCAAAGCAAAAATAGCCCAGAGAGGAATGGGAGAGGTGTAGAAGACAGACAGGTAGAAAACAGGAAGACAGAAACAGAAAAGGGAACAATAAAGATCCTTTCATTCATTTATTATTCATTCAGTCAACTCATATTTGAATGCCAGACTTTGTGATAGTGTTGGAAATTCAACTATGACTAACACAGAAAAGCCATCTTACCTCTTGGAGTTTATAATTTAATTGGGCAAATAATTATACTCCTTTAATTCTTTAAATAGCCAAGTCTTGGTTCAGGATTAAAATTATAAATTTGAGGAGGTATCACAAGCTGAATAACCTTGGATCAGTCTCAATGTTCTAATCTGTGAAATGGGTACAATAATCACTAACCCTCCTAAAACTGCGAGGATTAAGATGCTGAACAAAGCATTTAGCTGAGTGCCTGGCACAAAAAATAGATGTCTAATTGATGTTTTCTGGCTGGAAAATAATAATTGCTGAATGGAAGTCTCAACAGAGAACAGAAAATGTAAGCCCCAGTACAGATCACAAGTGAACACTTCGTTTCTTGGCAGTGTCAAAGATTTAGAACTCAGAAATAATGTTCTGAGTGATAATCAAAGGTATCCCTCTTAAAAGCCAACATTCTCAAATGCTCCTGCATGCTGGAATCACTTCCAATTATCTCTTTCCCAGCACTAGTTAATGAAGACTCCAAGTGTATCTCACTAGAAACCCAATTGTGTGAATTTCCTTACCTCAGTTCCAGAGATAATATATTTACAGATCAAGCCCTTCAAGCAAGAGTCTTGCAGGCCTTCCCAGAGAGAAAAAGGTCAAATTGTCTTCAGAATCAACTAGTTCTTTGACATAATATTTTGAAGGTCCAACTCAGAGAATCAGAAATTCTTTCCAACTGCAACTTGCTATCTTTCTTCGCTCAAATTCATACAAAACAGCACACAGGGATAGACAGCGAAAAATCACTAAACGATGAAATCTTCCAATGCCTTCCCAAGAGAGATGAGACCAAGTCTCCAAAGAAAGTAGAAAATCCCAGTTTCCCTCTTCTGTCATACTATCCCAAGAAAATGGGAACTCATGTACCCACCTGTGTACAGGTCAGTGTCTGTATATTCATCCACTTTCTTATGCTGCAGAATATAGTCGGAAACCTTGGTCCCAATAGCTGGCTGAACATCTACCCACTCCAAGGAGACCACAGTACTGGAGGGCTCCACTGTCGGGGACAGCCGCAGCCTACAGGGAATAAACAGGAAGATTCTTGTTTGGCAGCCAACACCAGCTGGGACCCAAAAGAGTCAGCATGTGTCAAAGTGAAGCACAGGTTTCAGTCTGAATTTAAATCTTGATTCCACTCACGATCACCAACTTGCATGACCTTAGGCAAGTTATTTCCCCTCTCATGGCCTCTGTTTCTCATCCATAAAATGGGAAGACAAGGAGCCACCTTTCAAGAGCAATGTAGAATTTCATAAATTAATCCATGCACACGATATGTGCTCAATGTCAGTTTATCAGTTGTCCATATATTTATACTGTATTCTCAATGATGCTTCACTTTCAATTAAATTGGCAGTGCCTTCAAACAAAGGAACTTTCCACTTTTCTGCCATTCTCTTTAATACCCACAATGTATTAGCTAACTTTTTAATATCCTTAAGTAAATACACTATTGAAAGGAGTAAAACTCCTGGAGTAAATCTTTTTGCAAAGCAAAAAAAAAAAAATAGAATGATGAAAGGTTAGAACTAGAATGGTCCTTAGAGACGATGAAGTTTAATTCCCTCATTTCACAAAATGGGGAAAGGCTCAAAAAAAGGAAACAGTTTGCACAAGGTCACACAAGCTGAGGACAGGACCATGATGGTGACTTTGCTTATCCTTATCCCAGATTCCTTTTTTCAACAATACCACACTGTCTCTTCAAAGACCATCTCATAACGTGATTCTTCTCACCCACAGAGGTCGATTATGGGACTTTATTTTCCAGTATTGGTTCCTGCCCCTCTCTTATGCTTCTCACACCACTTCTCCCTCTTCATCACATGCCTGCAACCACAATGACCTTCCTTTACTTCCTCAGATGGTGAATTTCCAGTGTCTGGCCCTTCACATATGGTGTTCCTTCTGCCTGAGACATGAGTCTCATCACTTGTTGCCTGGCTGGTGTCTACCCTAATTTAGGACTCTTCAGAGAGCTTTCCCGGACTATTCCCTCTCTCTTCCAACTAAAACATCTCCCCATTATTCCCCCTAATAGCATGTCTTTGTTTATTTTTCATATTTTTCTTATTAAAATGATTTTGCTGTTGAGACAGGGTCTCACTCTGTCACTCGGGCTGGAGTGCAGTAGTGAAAACTTGGATCACTGCAGCCTTGAATTCCTGGCCTCAAGTGACCCTCCCACCTCAGCCTCCATAGTCACTGGGACTACAGGCATGTGCCACCACACGGGCTATTTTTTTTTTTTTTTTTTTTTGTAGAGACGAGGTCTCACTATGTTGCCCAAGCTGGTCTCAACTCCTGGCCTCAAGAGATCCTCCCACCTCAGCTTCCTAAAGTGCTGGGATTACAGGCATGAGCCATGGTGCTGAGCCCTTATTTAAACTTTTAAATTGTATTTTCCTGTTTTTGTTTTGGCATCTATCTCCTCCGTTAAATTGTCCGTTCCCTAAGTACATGGACTGTGCCGATCTTGTTTCGCAGAAGAGGTTCTCCAGTTTTGTTTTGTTGTTTTTTAACCTCAGTAGCCCCATTATCTAACACAAGACCTGACAAAGTAGTCGGCTGCCTACAAGCTTTTGCTGAATGGTTGCCTGAAGGAAGAAATGATGAACTGAGTGGCATCATTTAAAACAAGCACACACTGCAGTATCAGTGTCCGCTCCTGTGCCACAATTCTGTTCTGCCAAAGCTCCCTTCTTTCCTAAAAAAGGAGGTAGCCTCCAGGGTCTTTGGGGATCTTGTTAGGCACCTTGGGAGCAAAAGCAAGTCATGGCATGGGCCGGCAGGACAGGAGTGTGAGTCCATGAAAAGGGACGGCCAAAGGAAAAGGGGCCATACATACGTACACCGGCTGCGGAAGGGGGCTGCAGTTGGGGAGCCCACTGGCATCAAAGGCGCTGAGGTCACACCTGCACCAGTCATCGATCACATCTCCTTTCCCTGAGCACCAGTAAGAACTCATCAGTGCACTCTTGAAGGCCTGGAAAAAAAGGAGGACAGAGTAGACAATGAAGACAATAGGGGAGAGATCAAGAGAAAACGTGCTGATGGCCATGATGTGAGCCATCGAGGGCTTTAGAGCAGCCCCTTTAAGCACAAGACCCCACCTATTCCCTAAATCCCTTGCACTCTACTATCAGGTTCTCCCATCCTGGGCCATCCCCTCCCCAGGAGCCAGAAGGATCATTGAGAAACAATAAAAACTATATCCATTGATAGTGTCCCCTGGGCTCGGCACTCCACCTGTGTTAACTTACTTAATCTTCACAACAACCTCATACAATAGATACTATTATTATAATTTCCCATTTTACAAATTGGAAAACTGAAGCACACAGAAAGTAAATAACTTGACTGAGGTTTACGATAGTAAGTGACAGAGCTAGGATCCAATCCAAGGTAATCTGCCTCCAAAGCCTGCCCTCTTATTAAACACCTTGCTGCACTGCCTTTTATAGAAGTCTGACCATCTCATTGCCCTGCTTAAAAACCTTCAAAGGTTTCCCACAGTCTTCAGGATAAAAATCTAAATGCCTTGTTCTCACCCCTGGCCACCTTTTCATCTCTCACCACTCTCCTGACCTTCTTTGCACAGTATCATCCGTTCTCGTGCACCCACATCATTTCCACCAACAGTGAATTCCTGTTTATGTAAAATGTGCTCTAAATCAGGAGCCAGAAAACAGTTTCTGTAAAGGGCCAGAGAGTAAGCATTTCTGGCTTCGGGACAAGGTAGACTCTTCCACAATTACTTAACACTGCCTTTGTAGCATGAAAGTGGCATAGATGATACTTTACATGAATTGGCATGGTTGTATTCCTATAAAACTTTATTTACAAAGACAAGTAGTAGGCTAGATTAGGTCTGAGGGCCACAGTTTGCTGACCTTTGCTCTAAATGATAATCAATGTTCTATTTAATTTGAACGTGCTTCATAGTCTTTTTAAAACACATACACATACGCGCGCGCGCGCACACACACACACACACACACACACACACTCCATTCTATGCCTGGAATATTCCCCTCTCTGCACTCCAGTTTACTCTTTTGGTCTCAAATAGGGAACATTCTTTTCTCTGGGAAGCCCACCATAACTTTCTTAAGTCTAGAACCATGCTCCTCTTCTGGATACCGTAACACACTAGACCATACCTACCAACACATTTCCTTGCCTGTCTCACCAATAAACACTGGTCCCACCAAGGGCAAGGGCCAGGCCTTAGTCACATGAATATTCTTGTGGGACCTAGCACAGTTGTTCAGTCAACAGTTAGTAAATACATGAATGCACATTGAAAAATAGATCGTTAATATTTGGCAGTAAAGAACTTGGAAGGCACTTTTTCAGTTTAGCACAGGACAGGACTCAAGTTTTACCTTCTACTTTGTTCCCCTCCCTTGGGCTCTGATGTGGAAGATAACTTCAGCGTGTGCTTGATGCTAACACTGACATTTCAACGCATTGCAGATTCTGAATGAATGACAGCTGTCTTTAAAACGTAAGACTTTCAGAGAATGTTGATCTCTTATTCCTTTGTGCTTTGCCTGCTCTGTATGATGGCCTTATTTTTCATTTCTTTCATATTTTTTACTTTTGATATGCTTTTAAATAAAAGTTGCACACCACTAAGGGCACTTGATTACCAAGATATCACTTTTTTCATTCTGCATTGTCTAAAAGACTCAAGTAGAACATGTTTGTATAAAGTGGGTCTGGGGTCTCCCTTCTGAGTGATCCAGAACACAGATCTAGAAGTAGACGGTGTCTATCAAGAGTGTTCCTGTGTAAGCTTCCATCTCATTTCTCCTGGAAGTTGACAAAAACTCTCCAATTATTCCTGCCACACATTCTTATCCATGTCATTTCCTAGGGATGAATGAATGAATGATCAAATTTCACCTGAGTTAAGTGTCATGACCCAAAGAAATAAAAAACAATTATAATAAAAGCTAATGTTCATGAAACACTAAACGGCACAGTACATGGTACTTTAAGTGTATTAAAATGTAATAATCACAATAGTCCTGAGACACAGATGTTACGATTCTCATTTATATATAAGAAAACTAGGAATCAGAGCAGTCAAGCAATTTTCTCAAGATCACACAGCAAGTAAATGGTGGAAACAGAATCCCAACCCAGATTTCTGTGACTCCCAAGTGCAGGTCTTTTCTGTTCAACAATTCTGAGCCATGGGATTAATCCCAAGTAGGGTTGCCAGATTCAGTAAATTAAAACACAGCGTGCTCAGTTAAATTCAAATTCTAGGCAACATGTTTTTAGTGTAAGCATATTTCATAAACGATTTGCATATAAAGTGCCCGGGCCGGGGTGTGTCACACAGTAAGAGAACTGTTCCTACTAGGTGCCAGAACCTATGCTGAGAACAAATGTCCCTTCTCTAGCCAGCACCAGAAGGAGGCACTCTCATGAGAACAGAAACCAGATGCGACTGCATGAGGTCATGCTGACTGTTAGACCTTTTCTCGCTCCCTTTGCAGGTTTCCCCTTAGTAAAATTAATGTGCTTAACTACTGATGGCTTAAAATTCTGTAACATCTCCAGCCAGCACTGAAGGCTTAATTACCATAACGGTGAAAACCAGGGCCGTGGGTGAAAGTGACACAGATGGGAAGGTTGCACTGGAACCCAGCAATGGGAAGAGAGAGAGCATACTGTGTGTGTGTGTGTGTGTGTGTGTGTGTGTGTGTGTGTGTGTGTGTGTATGTGTTTGGTTTTTATAATAAATAGGAACTTGAGCTTGTGGAAAACAAAACAGGAAATCTCTCTGGACTTTGTGAGTTTCACAAAGTTTCACAAAGTTTCACCATCCAGGCAGTGGATTTCTTTTTGGGAAGAAATCCTGCCTGTAAGAATCCACATCCACTGGCTCTTTCCCAAAACCCTGAGGAACAGAATGGGGACTGGTGCAATGGCCAGGCAAATACTGGTTAGAACACAAACACACCCTGATAAAAGACCAGCATCAAACGGGGAGTCCTCGTAAGGCTGCAGAAGCCAGCACTGGGTCAATGCAGGATCACTCTTTCCTCACCTCTTCCGTCCTTGCAACACTCCATCCAGAGTCCAATTAGATCCCGGGGGAGGAAAATCATAGAATGTTCCAACTTCACAGGACTCTGTAAATCATCTAACCTAATCCATTTTACAGATGCAGATACAGTGACCCAGAGATGCTAGCTGGCTGGACCAAGGTGATAGAACAACTTTACGATGAAACTACTCTATCCCTCCGTTGAGTGCTCAAAATTACCCATTGAGATGGATGCTCAATACCCACTTACAGAAAAGCATGGACGGACAGGGAGAGACTTGAACTAAAGCCCATTTGAATCCTTGTACCCTTGACCTTAGTAGGTCACATAGGAACAATAAATGCCAATATTTCATCCAAAATTTCCTGTTCGGCTGCTCTGCTTGGGTCATGTGCTTATGTGTGTGCGTGTGTTGTCTGCATGCGTATGTGTCTCTGTGTGTGTGAGAGAAAACGAAACCTTACAGTGGAGGCATTGTTGACTCCTAGCTTTTGAATAAGTGGAGGGACCTAAGAAACACATTCTATACTTAATGGCTATATTTGCACGGCCATTGGTTTTCATAACGAAGAAGGTTTGCATTTCCACAACTTGTAAATGCTTCCAACTTCTGGCTAATTAGCTAGGAAACCAAGCTGGGCAAGAGGAGAAAACAGCCACAAAAATATTAAGCAATCAAAAAAACTAGGATGTATTTCTGACTCTCTTGTTACTTTCCTTTTTGAACTTGCATAAAAGATTCCTCATTCTTAACTTCAATTTCCCTATCTACAAATGAGGGGATAGAAGATATGTTTTCTAAGGTTTAAGTTCAGTACACATTCAGTGAACTTCCTACTACATACCTTATGCCTTCCAGAAAGTAAGAAAGGGGATTAACAAGACCAAGTCACTAATTTCAAAGGATCTGCAATTTATTAGCAAAGATACACACACAAACAATTATAATTACTATAGTACAAATGTTATGAAGTAATACACACAGAAGGCTATGAGAATACAGAAGGAAGGGGGCTCTTCTAGCTCTAAAACATGACAATGTCTTAGGAATCTTAAACTTTAGGTAAACACCCTGTACTTAAGATATTTAGAAACATCTACACAGAATGTCACTAAGCCCATGAATTAAATTCCACATTCTATACTTCAAATGACTGTAATTTTTACACTAAAAAGTATTCTCATGTGCTAATACCAAGTCAGTTATTTTTGATACTAAGATGGTTCTGGTCTGTATGACTCCAAAAAGATGCTCTGAAGTCCTTACTAATGCCTAATGGATTTCATCTCCACAGTATTAACAAACTTGGTCACATGACTGCTTAACCCACAACAAATGAGGTGGGGAAAGGCTTTCTAGAGAAAAAAACAATCTATTATCTTTTTACCAACTGGCTACATCTTAGGGCCAAACACAGTATCTAGCATTTAACATAAGGCAGTCAATGTTTGTTTAATTAAAAGTTCACATGGAATGCTGAATAAAACAAACCAAATAAATGATAAAAGCAAAGAAAATGTGTGTGTATGTTTGTGATCCTCTTCTCCCCAGGATTACTTGTATCTCCCATGTCAGTTTGGTGGTTCCAGTCAAAAAGTGGTGGTCAACCTTATAAGGCTTCTCAAAACCAACCTCCCGACTGGGCGCAGTGGCTCACACCCGTAATCCCAGCACTTTGGAAGGCCGAGGTGGGTGGATCATGAGGTCAGGAGTTCGAGACCAGCCTGGCCAACATGGTGAAACCCCATCTCTACTAAAAACACAAAAATTAGTCAGGCGTGGTGGTGGGTGCCTGTAATCCCAGCTACTCGAGAGGCTGAGGAAGAATTGCTTGAACCCAGGAGGCAGAGATTGCAGTGAGCTGAGATTGTGCCACTGTACTCCAGCCTAGGTGACAGGGCAAGACTCTGTCTTGGA